CAGTTCTATTTAGACCAAAATCCTCCATTTCCTCATAATGGTGGGAGATTAAGTGTTTCAAAAGATTCAGATGCTCAATCTACAGGTGGAAATGGACATCAGAGTAGGCCATCTAGAAGTCCTAAGCAAGATGTGGAAGAAATAGAAGCGTACCGAGCATCATTTGGTTTCAGTGCAGATGAGATTATAACCACCAGTCAATATGTAGAGATTTCTGATGTAATGGATGACTCGTTTACCATGATGCCCTTGACCGCTGGCAAATCAATGATGGAAGAAAACATAGAGCCTTCATTGATGAAAGGTTTCAAAGCTCAGGAGACGCAGGTGGGTTTACAGAATCTAAAATGCCTTAGATTAGACCCTAGTCCAGTTGGCAAGCAAGCTAGGAATCAAGTCCCTCTATGTGACGGATACGAAGGTATGCTGTAAAAACTTATTTGAATTTGATTTGTTTTATTACATCTTGAGAAATTGTTGAAATATAAATAGACTTTAGCCTTAAAAAAACAAAAAGACCATAGAGAAAAGCACCTTCAAATTAATTATATTTTGTTTGCAATAAGTGTTGTTTTAGTGAAAAAATTTGTTTCTAAAATAAGTTGTGTTTTATCTTTTCAGTGTAAAATTAATTAATCTATTCGAATCTTCCTCCCAAATTAATATTGTGTACATGACTTTCAAATCATTATATTTCATTATGTATTTATGAAATTGTTAATAATCAGTAATTAATGAGGACACTTGTAAAATTGATACGCTTGGTTCATTTGTTCTTTTTCTTAATGGAAAAGTCTGAAATGACAATCATTCTTTTACATTTACCTGTAAGCAAATATTCATTTGTTCTTTTTCTTAATGGAAAAGTCTGAAATGACAATCATTCTTTTACATTTACCTGTAAGCAAATATGCTTGTTTTTTGCACATGTCAGATCATAAATCAGCAGGACATTTTAGCAACAGCTCTGGATTAAGTACACCTGATAATCATAGTCGCATGGATGATGAAGATATGTTTTCAAAAATGGGGTCATCCAGAATGTGCAGGAAATATCAGATGGGATTGTCATGTTCTGATGCAGAGGTTGACTATAGAAGGGGAAGAAGCTTGCGAGAAAGAAAGGGAGTATGATTTGGCATATGACTTAGTTAATCAGTGTTGAACAGATTGTCTGTTATATATGTATTAATTTGCAGTTTCCTTTTTTTTTTTTTATATATTAAGAAAACTACCAAAAAAAAGAATGAATGAAAGAAAGAAAGGAAAGAAACTCTTTACTTGGAGTTGTCTAATAGATGGAATGATCTAACCTAGATATGACCGACTCTGTCCCCTGTGTTATTGATCCATGAATGTAGTCCCTTGTTGTCTTTTTCAAGCAGGGTCGAAATGAATGTTTTAACTTTTGAGTGGATGAAGTTTGGCTTTATTAGCAATGGCAAGTGAATCTCCTGTTTCTGTTCTCCTAATCTTGGATACTCCTAATTAATCTACTTTATCATTCTACTTTCACTATTATAAAATTATTCACCTATCTATCTATTAATAATTACTGATAATAGCTACTTGAAATTAAAGGTAGTGTGTATAAAATAGTTTTGCACTATTATTTATTGGAATTCATCGTTCAATCATGTCATTTAATTAATTTAAAAGTCTTAAAGAGGGTCTCTGGAGCATTTTTTAGTATTTTTCTTTTTTATATTAAGAAAACTGCTCAAAAAAGAATGAAAGAAAGGAAGGAAATAATAAGACTTAAACAAATGTTTTAAAAGATAACATCCCACCGCGACGTAGTACAGAATTCAAAAACAAATCTTTTAGCAATTTGGATGTCGTTTGAAGCAACAACTATGTAAGCCGTGATGCAAAGTGATTTCAAAATGAGGTGAAGTTGTTCTTGCGAACGAAAAATTTACTCAGTTGGAGAGGTTTAAGACAAGTTGGTAATCGTTTTTGATGTTGATGAGAATCCAAATAAGATGATTTGGTTTGAAGCGAGATTTGTAAGGTTTAAGAACACGACATAAGGGTTCAAGGCAACGGTGTTTGATGTTTGTGGTGACATGGCGAATGAGGTCGGTGACTGTAACAAAAGGGTTTCGCGGGGAGTAGTTGAGAAAAGGGCGGGGTGTAACAAAAGGGTTTCGCGGGGAGTAGTTGAGAAAAGGGCGGGGAGTTGCATTGTAATAGCAAATAAGATGAGATATTGTTAATAACCAAAAAATGCCATGTGAAATAAAAATATACAGTTAAGTCTTAATAGTTAGTATACAAAATATAAAACACCACAATTTAAAAACTAAATAGGAACCGAAGTTGTCTTTATTATTTTAGATAGTTGATGGTTGATTTGTGATCTTTAATTTAGTTATATTATATATTAGTTCATTTTTCATTTTGTCTAGTTTATATTGAATTTTAATTGATGATATTTTTCTTAAATAAATTTGAAATTAAAAATTAAAAGAATTATAACTCATTTTGTTTTCCTCACATGCCAAATGGAAGAATAATAAAAAAATTTAATTCCTATAAAATATCTAAATAAGGAAAAATCAACTTTGTTATTTTCTTTTAAGTGTTTGATGTTGATGGTGTTACCGTCAAACTTTGGTACAATTGTCCTCTATAATACGTTTGACAGTGGAAAATACAAACTCTCTAACGATCAAGTCAATGACGCTCGCAGAAATGAGGTTTAAGGTTTAAAAATAATGTGTATTTTGTGGAACCATGTTTTGTAGGTTAAAGAAGCTTTCATGATGAATATGCTTTTGATTATAAGAACTAAATGTAAGTATAACAAAGGTTAAAAATGCAAGCAGACTAAGTAGGGTTTGACGGGTGTAATGATCACTACAAACATCCTCTGATGATGACACTTAAATTGAATATAACTCAAACCTCATTTCCAAGTAGAATTCAAGCAAGTATCTATAGGATTGGATTATTTGACAGATCTTAAAGCTTCAAAGTTGAAATAGAGGAATTGTGAAAGCTCTCCTTGTCGCGTTTGAGTGAACGGTATGTTGTAAAAGCAATAAGGCATTTTCGTAAAGCTATACAAATATATCATACACACATAGAGGCGCACACGCACATGTACACACACATGCACACGCGCGCCCACACATAGAAAAAAAACATGTTTTCAAGTCTATTATTCTTGATAAGTCCAAGCTTTTGAGATTGACATTAATTTTAGGAAAACTAACTTGACAGCGAGATGTCAGACAAGATGTTTTAACATGAAGAACAAACAGAAGAACAAGATGTTAGACAAGATGTCCTATCATGATGATTCGACATCTTTGTCTGTTACTTTGCAGTTTTGGTACTGCTAATTTATTTCCAGATTTTAGAATATTATGAGAATATTTATTTATCCTATGTGGCGTTCAAGATTGAGGAATCAACTATTCTGTTTGATTTTGAAGATGTCTTTTTCTAAGTATGGAGACATTTTAGGAAACTTTGGATTGAAGAAACTATTCTTAAAGAGAATAAGTTGTAGATTTTGTGTAACAAAATTGTTGCGTTTTTAAAGTCCAAATCCAATCTAGTTTATGGTTATAAATATGATGGATTTAACCTAATCAAAGTGTGGAAAATACATTATTGCTTAATGAGTTTTAGGGTTTATGTATTTGTGAGCCTCTCTTGTATCGTGTTGATATTAAAGCTGAACTGTTTGCATTGAGTTGTAATTTCTATCACTGTTGTGATTGAAAGAGAATTAAGAAGGGTCTCATACTTAGGAGAGTCTTAGATATAAATTAAGCATGTGTAGTGATTAAGTGATAAATTGTAAACCGGAGCTTGTTTAGCTTAGAATTAATACTATCTAGTGGATTTTATTCCTGCCTTGATAGCCCTAGACGTAGGTATTGTTGTACACCGAATTAGGTTAATAATTACTGTGTATTCGTTTACTTTTTGTAATTTTTATTGTACTCCTTCTTGTCATTGTGTTTAAAGCAGAGATCAAGTGTCTCGAAATCTCTTAAGACATCTGAGATCTGCATACCAAAATTTTAATTCTTAAAAAAATATTTCTAAAAAATGTTTTGAGCTTGTGCTAGTTGAATCAAAAACTATCTGAACTACTAAGGACAAATTTGTATTGTCCAAACGATTGGAACCTATATCCAATCGATTGGGTCAATATAAAACTTGTACTTAATCATTTAAATCAATACATTAATGTAAGACAACATCTATATATCTTTTCCTTCCTTTTTAAACATCTTAAACGATTAATTTGAGACCTTTCGGTCACCGGTGAGAAGTGCAGTAAGTTATCTAAGTGTTTCTATGGTCCTATTGTTGTGTTGAAACGTAAATGAGAGGTAGCTTATAAATTAGATCTCCCTTCAAATTCCAATATCTACAATGTGCTTCATTGCTCTGTCCTCAAACACCACCAAGGCCTTGAACCAACGGAAATTGATCCTCTACCGTTGATAACCATCCTCTCGAACTGGCTATTCTTGATTCCAAGATTGTCACTTCCGCAAGAGTTTCTAAGCGACTTGTGCTGGGCCAGTTAACATTAAGCCTAAACGGATTAACCAGCCACGTGTGAAGCTCAAAGATTATGTGGTGTATAAGTGATATTAGCCGATGGTTCTAGAAGGCAATCTTGAATTAGATTCAGATTGTTAGACTGGTGGGCCAGCTAAGAATATTTCCCTTGCGATGCATCATTAGTTTGTTATGCAATTTTCTGTTATTTTCCTTTATAAGCAGTGTAACTCATTGTAAGTGGATAGGAATGAAATCAGCTTTTCTCTTCCTTAATCTATCTTCTTCTTTAGGAGGTACTCAGTCCTAAAACTCTAAGATTTATCATTAACATTATGACCACCTTTATTCTCTTGGTTAGGACTACAGGCATATTGAAAAAAATTGTATTAAGATACATCAAATGCCACTGATAATTTTGGAGAGAAGAACTTCTTGGAGACTATCCAACTTTAAATATATATAAGATCCTAAAGTAATTTCATTGAATTGAGTGACCCCAACAAGTTGTTGTGAAAAGGATCAGAGATGTGATCCATAATGTTTTGTACAGGACCTTTACCCGTCACTGCCGCTTGCATGAAGAAGCCTAACCAAGCCATCATTGCCAAGCGTCCATTTTTTATTTCTTTCACCTTCAGATCTTCAAAAGCTTCAGGGTCTTTGGACAGACTTAAGGGATCAAACAATGCTCCTCCAGGGTAGTTTATATCACCAGGCAAATATATTCCTAAAGGCTCCAATGCCTCAATCCCACAATATCTAGCGTATTCTGGTCCAACCTGTTTTATAATAAGAATCTCAATTAGTAATAACAGTAGCCAATCCATCTGCAGAAGCAAAGGACTGTCCAAAAGAAACAATATTTTGGTTAAGCAGTTCCATCTAACTACTGAAACTTTTTATTTTGGCCCATACAAATTTGGTTTATGAAAGTAAAGTAATTTCTTGAACTTTGAGTGTGAAATGAGTTTAACTTGCAAACTTTATAGTTGCATTCTGGTATTTCAAGAGAACACCTACGAAGCATTGCAAGCCACGGAACACGTTCCATTTGTAGAATCAAAAGGATCGCTTCGTCCAGTACAACTAAGTTGAAAATCTAATAACTTGCAAACTGAAATACTGGAAGACAAATGTCACAAGATATAAATAATGTTAGCAGAGCCCACGAGACGATGTGGATAATGGATACAAGCATTACCATAAGGAGAACTTGACAAATAGCAATCACAACCACTCCCTGGCTTCCAGCTAAGTGAAGACCTGGGATGCCAAGGTAATCTAGAGTATCTCCCTGTCGAAAATTGGAAGATGCGTAAGCAAGAAATGTACTGCATTATTACAATTCACCAGTTTATTTGCTTGGTAAAAATGTATACAAAGTCAGGCTGAGATGAATTTATTCTCAAGCAGGTAAAAATTGATCGACTAGTTTTAATAAATGAAGTGCAATAATGGAAAAGAGAGTGTCAAAGATTTATTGGTTTAGGGATAAGGTAAAGGAAAAGAGAGAAAGACAAATCATCGTATGAGCTAAAACCAAAAGTGTAATGAAAGATGTAATGTGAAACAAAACTGATAAAACAGGAACTAGGGACGTATCAAGAAACAATCTCACAGTAGGGAATTGACCTCTGTGTAAGTATGAAACTTTATAGATTTTAATGAAAATACTCTACAGATTTTCAAGGAATCTGAAACCTCCCAAACACAATTCAAATTCATCAATGAATCTTTATTTCAGCCACATCCTTGGAGGAGATATGGTGAGCTAAAGAAAAAAAAATGAGCAAATTTAGCGAGATGGTCTACAACCACCAAAATTGTATCCATCCCATGAGCTTGGGGTAATCATCCAATAAAATCCATTGAAATGTCTGCCCACACTTTAGTGGGGATTAGGAGAGATTGCAAAAGGCCAGGTGGAGCCGAAGGACTAGCTTTATTTCGTTGACAAACTTCACAAGTTGCTATATAATAATCTTTAATGGTATTTCTCTTGCCCCTCCAACAAAATGCATTAGCAACCCTTTTATATGTCCTGAAGAATCTCGAATGACCACCTAGAGGGGAGTCATGCAGTTCCTTTATAAGAAAGGACTAGCTTCCCTTTATAATAGAATTTTCCACGGTGTATCTCAAAACCAGTGTATTCAGCATTTTTAGTTAATAAATCCTGGAAAATGTGATTGGGGTTGGGGTCTTGAGACAATTCTAAATTCCACTCCTCCCAATCTTCGCCTTGAACCACCGAAATGGACATAAAAGAAATTTTTCTAGAGAGCGCATCCGCCACTACGTTTTCTTTGCCCGGTCTATATTGAATCTCGAAATCATAGCCCATTAACTTCGTAGCCCATTTAAACTGATCTGCACTCGGTAACTTGTGTTCCTGGAGAAATTTCAAGCTTCGTGATCTGTCCGGATGATAAATTTGCTTCCAAGAAGGTAGTGTCGCGACTTTTTAATAGCTTGCCATGAGTTCTCATTCATAAACTGATTTTAATTAGCCCCTTTCTGATAATGCCTTGCTCCAAAACGTGAAAGTTGTAAAAGCACTGCCTCTAAACCACTCGATGACGCATCTGTTTCCACCGCAAACGGTTTGGTAAAATCTGGAACGGCTAACACTGGTAGAGTGTTGACTGCTGCCTTAAATTCATCAAGAGCCTTTTGTGGTTGTGCATGCCATTGGAAAGCATTCTTGTTGAGTAATTCAGTGAGAGGAGGAGGTATTCTTAGTATATGGATTCTCATTTTCCTTATGAACAGGGAAACCATTCTTCACGGAATGGGAAATGGAGAATGATTATAGTATGAATCACACAGACTAGTGTATGGTAAAGTCGACAAACTGATAAGCAAAAGGGTAGCAAAAACGATTGTGAAAGAGAAAAAGCATGCTAACCTGGAGCTTTGAATAACCAACGCGCCACCAAACAGGTTCTACAAAGTGAAAGGCTCCCAAGAGATGTAATAACTCAGGAATCAGAGCACCAAGAGATGCAAGCATAGCCCAGCGAGCATGCAATATCTCAAAGCTTAATGGTAAATTAGGTTAAAGGGAAGAGTTAAGTATTTAAATTCAGCAATAATATTCCAGTGTAAAGAGTATTTATATATTTGCAAGCATTGCAGAATAAAGAAAGAAAATGTGATGACATACTTGAAATATTTCTGCAGCGCCACCGGATCCTTGGCGAGGCCGGCAATGTCAAAGCCATAATCCCCAGGCAGTTCCCCAATAAGATGGGATGGATATCCATATGAAATAGGACCAAGCCAACGAGGCCGATCTTCTCCATACCAAAAGCTGAAAACATGAGCACAAATTTTAGAGGATAATACTCGTGTAACATTGTGTCAAAAAAAAAAGTGACCTCATTTTTCTTGCTTTTAGAGCCTGAGCCTTGAATTTGGAGGAGTTTTGAAGAGCAAATTTCTTTGTCTGTTCCATTTTGGTCTGAAGCGAGTCCCCAAGGGGACTGTTAGCTATAGCTTTGACGGCAGTGAAAGGAATAGCTGAGAATAGTAAAACTCCAGCAAGCTTGAATAGAATGGGATAAGGATGATGAGATGAGATTATAAAGAAGAATGGGATAATAGAAAGCAAGAAAAAGGATAATATATGGACCTCTTGCCATGAAGCATTGCAGATGAAAGGAGGAGAAGTGTGTTTTGGGGCAGAGCCTACGGAGAGAGCGCGACAAAAGTGAAGAGAGCCTCTAACGAAACAGGAAGAACGAGAGGAAGGAGGGGCCACTGGTTGAAGCCACACCATAGTTAGTACTAGTGTTCCACTCACATAAAATTCAAGATAACTTCAATTTATACACGAGGTGGACACGTCTCATCGCTAATACACATTATTTATTATATCAACTTTTTGTTTTGTTTTTTTATATTGCTTTAATTATAAAAATAATTTCCAATAATAAAAAGGTTAGTTAACCTATTTTGGATATTGAAACCGTAACAGAATATAAAAAGATATCATTCTATTTCATGACGAAATAGGACAATTTTATTATTCATCCTAAAAAAGAAGCACAAAAGTGATAGAATGGGAATGAATAAATTTTATCTACTTTATTTCATCCTTTTTTTTTAATTAATCTAAACAATGAAATGTAATTTTATACAATTTCATTTCATCAATCTAACATAGTCTTATAATCTTATAGTTAAAATAAAATTCAGTCAAACATTACATTTAATTGAGAGTGTAATATATAGTACATATAAATTAATTCTTATTTATTTAAATTTTTAGAATTCTTAATTTTTTTTATTACAAAAATAAAAACAAAGAAAAAAGAAATAATCCAAAGATATATGAAAGAAAGATAAGATTTAATTAAGGAGAATGAGCAATTCACGTCTTGAATGAGTCGATATTTGAAGCATCATATTTTGTCAATCAATTGGCACTTTGTTTTCTCGATATTTGAAACATCATATTTTGTCAATCAATTGACACTTTATGTTCTTCTCTCACTGTATAATTAAAGGATACCACTCGTGAAAGAGGAGTGAACTTTCGGATGAGAGATAGTAAAGTTGCTTGGGGTGAAAGTTGTTAGAAGTCGTAACCGTAAGATTAGTGAATAATAGAGAAATTGAGTATAGAAAGAGAGATTATTATTAACATATAAAACAATACTTCCAAGATATATAAATGTTCACAAGTGGATTGGAACACAAGTTACATCATCAAAATAATAGAAAAACTAAATTCTCAAACTTGTAACCGGTTACAGCTGAAACAACTTCTAAAAATTCAACAGTGATAACCGATTGCTGCAAATGCGTAATCGGTTACACCAACGAGAATTTCTCTTTTAAGCTTTTCTGTTACTTTATTTCACGCAATTGTAACCGGTTACGCTCTCGTGGTAACCAGTTACAACACTTTAATTGTGTATTTTCTCATAACACACCACCTTAATTCATGTGCTCCAAGTCTTCCATATCCATGTTCATCTCAAACCTTTTGAACACTTTAGTTATGACTCCATTGGTCAACAAATCAACAACTTGTTCTTCGCTTCAACAATATCTCACTCTCAACCTTTCTTTATTAACAAGTTCCTTGAAGTAGTGAAACTTCATCTCAACATGCTTGCTCCTCCCGTGTGCAGTTGGATTCTTAACAAGATTAATTGCGGAAATGTTATCAACCAGGAGTGTAATAGCCTCACCCTCATTATTGCCCAACTCTTTCAATAGGTTCATTAGCCATGCGGCTTGGCAGGCACATAACGAAGCGGCAATGTACTCGGCCTCAAAAGATGAGAGTGCAACTATCAATTCCTTCTTCAAACACCATGAGATTGGTGTTCCGTCAAAAATAAAGATGTATCTAGTTGTAGACTTTTTATCATCTTTATCTTCGCACCAATCGGAATCGATAAAATTGAGCAAATTGCATTTTTTTTGTCTATGTCCGCTGCGAGAAAGAGAAATATGCATCTAATTAATCCTTTGACATATCTTAGGATCCTTTTGACTGTTGCCAAGTGAGACACATTTGGTCTCTCCATGAATTTACACACAATACTGACATTAAATGTCAAGTCTGGTCGCGTATTGCACAACTAACACCAATCAGCCTCCTATATTGAGTTGGATCGATATCTTTCTCATTCTCACTCTTCGACAATTGTAGTCTTCGTTCATTCAGAGTAATGGCCGCATTATAATGCTCAGTTTTAAACTTCTTCAATATCTCAAGTGCATACCTTCATTGGTGCATGAGCGGTCCCCTTTTAGACTTGTGGAACTCAACGTCAATGAAGTATGTCATGAGGCCAAGGTAGGTCATCTCAAATTATTTCATAAGTTCACTTTTGAACTTAGAAATACATTTTTTGTTGTTGCTCGTTATCAACAAGTCGTCTACATATAGACAAAGGATAATCACTTCTTTACTTGTATCCATCTTCACATACACGTCATGCTCAATACACGCTTTTTAAAGTCAAGTCTCCTTTAGAAAACCATTTATCCATCACATACGTTTTAAATTGGATGAAATAAAAAAATGAGAAATTGGATGGAATGGGATGATGTTTCATTCTATTTTATTCATTATTAACAAATTCAAACAATGGAATTATATTTGTTACCACTCCACTTTATTTCATTTCATCTCATACCACCAATCCAAATATATCCTTAAATTTGATTTTAAATGTAAGAGAATGGATAGAAAAGAAGTGGTTGAGATGTCTCCGGATTTCAATAAGGTGTATCCAAATGTTGCAATCCAAATGTATATCTTTGCAATGTGTGAGTGCATTTCAGATGAACTGGAATTGTTGTAACATGGTTCATCTGTATTTCAAAGTCCATTCGGTGCGAGAGGGGTGTTTTTGGGTTTCACCAGAGTGCAAGAGGATTACTTACTAAAGGTACAATGAGCAAATCCCCCTATTTTTATAGTCGGTTACACACAAATTAACTAGTGGATTCAAAATTACAACTCACTCTATCAAAAAAATTAAGAAAAAAATGCACCGATAAATTATCTTAAGCTTGTTTGTGTCTGCTTTGGATAAGTTTTTTTAATTTTATTTGTTATTACAAAGTACAACCACTGATAATTCATTTCTTAACGGGAAAGAGAATTCAATTGTTAACGTTAACTATGCTACAAGAGGACTTACTCCCTTGCTCTTTTTAATAGAAAACGCAATGAAAAGTACCCCAGAGCAAATGTTTGCCAAAACCAGCCTGTTGCATTTGCAGGATCCACCTTTTTAGCCAGGTACCAAGCATAACTGCCCTCAATCGCATGTGCAGCTGTCGCCAGCAAAAATACCAGTCTTGTCATCCACATTGACCCAAACACAAATAGACATATACCTCTCAGAAGAGACACAATCCATATTGTGTCTGGTAGAAAAGCGGCACAGAAGAGTGAGGTCATTCCAATGACACAAAACAGCCACGCGTAAATGGTAGGCCCATCCAGAATTTGCCTTTTCCTCTGTTTCCAGTAAGTTATGGTAGAATCCATCCCCTCCCGCGGGGTCACCATGGGAACATAGCCAATCTCCTCTCTGGCTTTAAGATAAGAGAAATAGTGGGTCACTCCCACCTGTCAAAGATCAATATACATATCAGGATGACTTCTCCTTGCATCCTCATCTAAAAGGAAGGATTTTCTTGAATGCAGTTGTATTGAGGTAAATCCATACATGTTCCAAAGTTTATTTCAAGCATACAAGTTGACAAGTGCACACACATAGGGGTGGAGAATGATTTAAATATATTGATTTAAGCTAACAACTTGGATCACAATTGTGAATCCAAGTGTTAAAGCATGTCATTCAGATAAGTTTAAGCTAGATTTAAAAACCAGCAAAACACATTGAATACAAGAATCGTATCAAATTACACAAAAGGTGAACAAGATGAAGAGATTTCCAAAAAATGCAACCAAGAACACAAGTATGTACCAAACTCAAGGATTTGAGCTCTAAATGCCATATGATATGAACCTCCAAGGAGATCATTGAAAGACATGAAATGCCTTACATATTTCTAGGCCTACATATAAGTCTTTGACTATTCAGCTAGCTAGCTAGAATGAGAGAAAAGTACTGACCTTGTGCACTTCACTTGGAAGGATGAATGGTTGAGGGAGCCACCGTTGATTAAGCCATGGATATAAGATCGTATAAACACCTTGGCAAATCCTCCCAAGAACAAGAGCATGTTCGACAGATAAAGATGTTTTTGGTAGTTCATAATCCAAACTCTTGAGTAGAGGTTGGAGGAATTCAAAAGAATTGACAGGTGAACCTGAACAAAAGAGGAGTCAGTAGTTGCTTATAGAAATTCTAGCAATAGACATTAACAAAGAGAAACCATCACCATCACATATAAAGTATGCCTGGCCAGCAGCTATAGGTCGTTTTCCCTTTTCATTATTGTCATCCAAGAGCCCCATACTTGCTAATATAAGTGCAAGGACAAGGTTATCAACAAAAACCCAATCTGACTTGACAGTTTCGTCGCCAATTCTGAACAGAATCAGACCCAACCTTGCCATGGTTATGATCCTCGGAAGGTGCCTGTCTTCCCCCGGTCCATAGATAGCAGCGGGGCGAACAGCACAAGTGTAAAGATGATTTCCAGCATCGTTCCTTGAGAAGAAGAAAAAGGTTATGCAAGCAAAGTAATAACCATATGCAGTCTACTACAGCTTGGGTATCGTACCACTAGGCACTACCAGGTACGGAGTCATTCAAAGAGCTAAAATGTGGGTGCATTAATATAAATTTTATTAAACATGAGCAGCTTATCTGAAATATAGAAACAAAAACTAGCAAGCCATAGTGTGTAAGTTGTTGAACAATCAACATCATAGAATCTAAGTATGCCTATGAATATCATCAAACTTTAAAAATGTCAGTATCATCGTTTACTAGCCCATGAAAAAAGCAACTAGAAATATGGTTAATCAAGATAGATTAGCAACTTCAAGGAATGTCAGCCCCTTCAAACGGATATCTCGCATTTTACCTTCACAGTCACACTCTCTTTCTAGAGACGAGACAAAGATTTGAATGTATACCAAAATATATTAATCACAAACTTGCCTTTATCGCTATCTACACACACAAGATCTCTCTCAAATAAAATGAAAGAGCTATCTCTATTTCAGTCTGATCCCTTCCCCGAAAATCCTACCCTCCAAACCTGAACGGAGTCTTAAATTCTAGCCAGCAAAACAGTACTTTTAATTAATGATAGCAAGAGTAAAAGTAAGGAAATGCAAGTTACTTGAGAGGGCGGGCATTATTCTTTAGAACCAACTGCTCAGCAATTGATTTACTGCGGCCATATGGATCAACATGGGTATCAATTGGAATGTAAGGCAAGGTCTCGTTCCCATTGATGATCTTCTGACCACCAAAGACAACATTGTATGTGCTACAATAGACGAGCCTTTTGATACCGAGGTCAAGGCATGCGTCTATAACATGGCATGTCCCGTTTATATTGATTTCATCAACTCTACCGAATTGCAGCATCTCTTTTCCTGACATACCAAAGGCCGCAAGGTGGAATACACATTCGGCACCACGGAGTACCCTTTCAACATCCTCTTTGCGGGAAACATCCCCTGATTGATTGATTGAGTTAATAAGTAATAATATTAAGAGATCTGAAAATGAATAAACAGAGAAAAGCAACCTTGTATGCAGTTGACTCCCTTCTGTTTGAGAATATGCGACCAGGGAGAAGATTCGCGGAGGTCAAAGGATCGCACCTGTTTGGCACCTCTCTGTATGAGTTCCAAGCACAGAGCAGATCCTACGAATCCAAGTCCGCCAGTGACCACGAAGGTCTTCCCCTCTATTCCTTCGTTCTCGCTCAAGTGCATTCTTCTTCTTCGTCTTCACTCTTCAATTTCACACACAGATTTTCATGTCTCCTCTTAATTTCACTGCATATAGCATCCCGCGTAGTCCAGTTAAGGTCTTTGCACTCATTTTAAGAATCCATTCACATTTTTCAACTTTTATCAACAAATACCATAAATTAACTTTTTAGGGAAAAAATATGTACTACTTATTTTTACAATCTCAATCAATAAGGGTATTCTACCAAATAATATTGTTATTTTTAATTGAATGATAAAATTTTATTAAATAATAATATCAAAGGGAGGAAATACTCGTTAAAGTAGAGAAAAATAATTTGGTCACGCATGTTTCAAAGAAGGAAATACTTTAACTCACATGTTTTTTAAGCCGACAAGTATAAGGGGATTTGGGGTCAATCATTCTTTCATTTAAGAAACTCAAAAAAATCGGCGCATTGAGACTCTGAAAGATGCGGTAATAGTCATAGGCGGTGTCAATCAACCCTCTTGGATATCTCTCATTACGTCATACATAGAGCAAGACATTCTCCACTCTAATCTGGTTGAAGCTTCCTTAGTGAAAAGAATGGTAAGTTTGTACAGAAGAGGCTTTTTACCCCTTTATTAAAATGCCTTTAAAAATGGGAGGTCGTTAACATCCTCCTAGAAATGCATGATGGTATAGTTGGCCAACACCTAAGGTCCGAGCACTGGCAAATTTTTTTTTAAAAGTGTGATATTATTGGTCGTCCATGGTCTAAGACGCCAAGGAATATGTGAAGAAATGCTACCAATGTTAGTGACGCATTGACATTTATAGTGCATCGTCGACAAAGTTGCTTATGTTAACATCACCTTAGCCTTTTCTCAAGAGGATACGAACATCCTCAATCCATTTCCTCCAGCTTCTGGTCAACTTAAATAATTGATTATGGTGGTTGAATAATTTGCCAAATAGGTTGAAGCGGAGAATTTGGCAAAGATCATGGTGGCAAACATCCTAAAGCTTTTCAAATGGAATATCTTGGTCAGGTTCAGAGTTCATCGGGTCATCGTAACGGATAATAGAACCCAAATCACACATATGAAGTTAAATAACTTATTATGTGAATTAAAAGTCAAACAACACTTTATATCAATAACATCCTCTGACTAATGGACAAGCGAAAACAACCAATCGGGTGTTCTTGAGGGGACTTAAATGAAGACTAGAAGTTGTCAAAGGAAAATGTGCAGATAAACTGCCACACGTATTATGGGTGCATAGAACACCTCCTCATTCAATGATTGGTGAAATTCATTTTCATGTAACTTATGGTGTTGAAGTTGTCGTTCTAGTGGAGGTTGAAGAACTAAGTTGGAGAATAGCACACCCCTACCCGAGGCATACAAAAATTAGGCACTCATGGAGGAAATTGACCTCTTATAGGAAAAGAGGGTGTCAATTGCCTCCATCGGCGTCGTTATCAAACAAGCTACGCCAACTCGATACAACCAGCGCGTCCGACCTAGTAAGTTCCAAATTAGAGACCTCGTACTACAACGAGTCAACGTTAAAGGTAAGAACGCTTGAGATGGCAACACTGCAGCAAATCAGAAAATACCATATATACTAGCACCAGAAAGAGGGCTTACGTCTTAGTACATCAACTAAGAACAAGTACCAATAACTTGAAAAATTACTAAACTTAAATGACATTTTAGTAGAATATCCATTAAACAACAAAAAAGGGTGAAAGATTACATTGTTCTTTACATTCAATGTAATCATTTTACATATCTATATATGATAATGTTCTCGTTCTTTTTGTTTGGATTTTTTTCATGTGCTTACATTTTTAGGAAAATATAGGATAAAATACAACGTGCATTATATTACACCTGGCGCAACTCCCTATTAGGAGATAACGACTCCAATAACGTAGGCGATGGAGTCTTAGAGACATTCACCTCAAATTGGTCTCAAACTCGAGGGAAGGCAAGGGAACTTAACCCTTGGTCGAGGACAGTTTTGTGTGATGTGGAGAAATTACTCCAATTCCCCTTGAATGGGACGAGTAATTCTAAAAGGAAAAATCTACCTCGCTGAGTTATACTAGTTCCCATCGAAAGAGACAGGTAATGACGAGGACACTAAAGAAATGCCAAAACTTCATAAGCGGTACTAACTTTAACTAAGCAGACGACAATTATAGTTGAATAAACGAGAAAATGAAGCATCAAAACATTTCTTAAGTTACAAGGACAAAGATAATGTTAAATTACGAAAAGAAAGGCAATATTACATCAGAAAACGTTTGAGTTATTTTATTGTAATTGGTCCTTTAAGTTGTTTTTTGCTACAAGGTAGCCCTTTAAGTTATCTAACATCTACATTGTTTCCTTTTTTTTAAGATTTCGTTCCAAAAATGATTATGTGGCACTAACGTTGGTGAGATGGCACTAACGATGCTTACATGAAATTAAATAGCCAACCCAAAAATATATCTCCCCAATAAAGTTATGACACATAGCTTTTGAAGAGAGATAAAAAAAAGTTTAAAAATTACAAGTTTACACCATGTTTTATTATTTTTCTCTCTTATTGTTCTTTTATTAGGGCTTCCATAGTGGTTGCAGAACTTTACAAATCATATGAAACATTTCATTACATCCTTCGCCAATTTATAATTTATACACCACCTCAATCGATTTCAATGGTTGCGGTTTTCAAACATAATAGAAGCACAATATATCTTTCTTTTCTTACACATTAATTTGGATGGCAATATTACATTGTTTTATCACGCTACTAATTTTTCTTCTGCTAAATAATACTAGCAGCACTCATGATTATGATATGTGCACAAAATCTGCTAAATAATACTAGCAGCGCTTAAAATAAAGGATTGAGAATCCTGACTTCATCAGTTTGGTTCATTTCTAAGGTATGAAGTTATTGATGGAGAAGTGGAAATTAGGGTTCGTTGTTTATAGATTTCAACTTCCATTTTTTCTCCAGAGATATAACAAATAAGAAGATAAATATCAACTTAGCAACGTTAATTGACACATCAGCGACGTCAGTGCCACGTAACCTTTTTTGGAATGGAGTTTGTAAAAAAGGTCAACGGTACACATCTTAGTTAACTTAAAGGACCAACTTGTTTTTAAAAAAATAATTTTAAGGACCCCTGGTATAATTTTTCTCAAAAATAAATATGCTCGACGAGAAATTGGTTGATTATCTCTTTCCAAAAGCTCATTTTGCCACGTGTTTGAAAGTCAGCAAAACGTCTTAATAATGTGAAATGCATTCAATGGCCCGATTCCATACTACTTCTGCAATTGCTTAATGGTTTTCCCATTTCTCTTTATGGTCGACTTAATTATGTGATACTAGCATCAACATCGAAAGGCTTCTCAACCAATAAAACAGACATCTGCTTTTGACCGACCAAAAGTCCAATACGGGCAAGATTCAAGTTATAAGCTCAATAAATATCCAATTGACTTTTTCCCAAATAGAAATTCCAAACTAAAAAGTGTTAAAAAATACAAAAGCCAGACAACTAATTACATTGTTCAAAAATATTACAAAAACATTGTTCAAATATTACTAGAAGAAAATTAGGAACATCATGTGTCCCTACTAGGGCTGGAAATTAGTCGAGTCGAGTCGAACTCACCTCAGCTCAGCTCGACTCGTTAAGAATTGTTCGAGTTCGACACGAACTTTTTTTTAAGCTCAAACTCGACTCGTTATAAGTTCACGAACAGTTCGGTTCAACTCGTTAGGTTCATCTCATTAGGTTCGGCTCACATGATTCACGGACTTAAAAACTATTTTTTTAAATATATATATATTTTAGTATATTTGACATTTTAAATAAATATATATTTTTAAAATAAAATATTAAAATAAAATAAAAGTTATCATTTGAAATTTAACTTTATCTTCAAAATCTACTAGTTCAAAACCTACACAACTTTCAAGAGATACATTTGAGAGTCTAATTCAAAAACTACTAAATTGAAGATTAAATTTGTCTAAGATTTGAAGTGAATATTTAAACTTAATCTTAAAGACAGTATAATTCTTCTCATATGTAATCGAGTTGACTCATGAACCTAACGAGTCGAACTATGTATAGTTCAAGTTAAGCTCATTTAGTTAACGAACTTAATTTTTCGCTTATACTCAACTCATTTGGTTCATGAACCTAGTTCAACGATTTAATTGTCGAATCGAATTTCGAACTATTTTCGAGTTGGTTCGGTTCATTGTCAGCCCTAGTCCCCACCAATCTCTTTTTATTCTCCTTGTCCTCTTCACCGTCCTCGATTGCTCCCTAATTGTCATTGGCAATTTCACTATCCATGATTTTCTTCCTCAAGTCCATTTTTTCCAAAGGAATCACAACCCAAAGGCAGAGGAGCTAGACTCGCTTAATCGCCCAATGAAAGGAATTAAAATCACCTTAGATACCTTCGCTGATGACAATAGTATACTATTTCATCAGCCTTCAGTGAGATTATTTTTCCTTTTTCAAAGAGTAATAAGCAGTGGCCACCTGGGAAGACAACTCCCCGTTAGAAATATTGGCCTCATGTATAGCCTTCTCTTTTTAAACTAGATTCCCTTCGAGGTTGATGATCATAGTTGTTAGGTAAGACAAGGCATAATGGATTTCTACTTCCTTTTGAAGGCTAGAAAGCTTTCCAATGTTCAGTCTCTTTCCACCACTGAATTAGCTATGCTTGAAGTTTTTCCACCTTCTCTTGGATAGCAGTCCACTCGCAAATGGTTGCCTCACACTCATTTCTCACGTGCTTTTTTTCTTTAGGCATGTTATTGGGATAAATATTTCACCTTAGCAAGAAGAATACAAGGTCAACAAATAACCCCCACAAAACAAATTATATGTTATCTTATCCATCAGTTCTATTTTTCCAGTATCAGATAGACTTTGGACATAAGCGACATATTTCTCCGATAAAGAATGCGCTTCTTGAGATGTTAGAGGCACCGGAGAAGA